ATGAACTATCCATAATTTCTAAGAAATGATTTGCCAATTTTGTTAGGGGATCCATCATGATGAAATTGCATTTGTTGCAATTTCATCAGCATAAATGCCGTTGGTGTAGTTGAGGCAGTGGTGCCGCTTATTTTGCTATGAATGTGTGGGCCTTCTTGGATACCACTTACTTTAGTAGATAGAGACGCTGGAGCGGCATATTTCCATGGCCAGCTCGGTCATCGGATACAATATGCCTAGGTTTTAATTTATGGGGTCGAATCAAGAACGAAACATGGATAGATAATAATTAAACGGTATTAAAATGAAATTAAAATATATGTTTTGACGTAACCAATTTACCTCTTTTTGTTTCCTAGCCTACTACTATAATTTTTAGACTATATAATCCTAAGCGGTAGCCTAACATGATTTGTTCTCTTAATATCTCCGGTTAGAGAGAAGATAGAAGGTTGCGGTTTGCGCTGATATTTTGGAAATTTTGTGCTCTATTTAACTGTATACTATTTAACTCGCCTCTAACAGAAATATAACCTCCTATTTATTTTTTACGCAAAAGCGCAATATTTGTTATGATGTCAAACAGCGCCTTCTAGCTACCACGAAAAAAATTGTGGAAACAAAATTTATACTGGAGATCATTAAGGAAGAAAAGCTCTTTTAAACGAGCCCTAGTTTGTTTAAATCGCATAACCTAAACCAGAGTTATCCTTATTTTAATAAAAGCAAGTTTAACCTTCCCCCACCACTTTATTTTATGAGATAGAGCAAAATGCTTTATATCAAAAAAATTAAAAATTTCTCGATGATTACAACAGTAATATTTAAAGTACCTGTTCACCTGCATATTTTTGAGAAAAACCCTGTTTTCTGATTGGCTATTAGAGAAACGCCCCCTAGCGGGCATTTGTCGAACTTGAAAATAATTTCCAGCGATTTCTCTTGGTCGATTTACTTATTAGAATGTTTTCCCAAAGTTATATGATAAGTAGTTTCTGAGATACAGCCGGCGTCCATTCTTAGTTGGCCACCCGGTACTAGGATGTATTTGAGGAAAATATTTTAACTTGTACTGAGTGGCTCAATAAAATGCGAGTGGATCGAGATGATTTTGTTTAATTGAACACCCTGTATATTATTGAATTTTTGGCTTCCTTTCAGATCACTCTTCATGAGTAAATATATTTCGATAGTTTCAGAGATATTAATAAATACATAAAAAATATATATTTTCTCTCTCAGCCTTTCTTAAAATAATTATTAAAAATAAAAAATCAAAACTATATTAGTTGTTAATTCCCCATAACCTTAACTCGAAACATAAAAAAAATTCAATTTGTTGCGAACTTTTGGATACTTGGATTTCTCTATTTTCTATTTTCAAACAAACTTTTCTTTAACTAAAAATTCACGCTGATGCCTTTACCCTCCCATAAAATCTTTTGAAGTTATTCTTAGAAAAAATCCATATATGCAAATATCTATTTCCAAGTGCCTAAAAAAACACAGAACCTTACAAAATATAACCTAACAATGACGCAAGACAGGTAAAACGATTCGAGCCCTTGTTGGTTTCAAGGGCCTTAAATGTCATGGCCTCCTTAAATCTGCTTACTCAGGAAACAGCTTAAAAGATAAAACATGAATGATGGGTTGGAATAATGTTAAGTGGGAAAGCTATTTAAGCAGAGAAATTTATTATTCCAGAGGCATTTAACCAAGAGAGAGTTGATTGATTATGTAGGAATACGGTGTGTTGCAATTTTTATAACTCAAACTTAAATTTTCATAAAAATGATGGAGATAAATTTACCGAGGTTCAGTTTCTTGTGCTAATATAATTTTATATAAGTTTTATTGTTATATAAGATATTTTATCATAGATTTAAAAATTAAGATGACTTTAAATAATTTGAATATTAGAGGAGAAGTTACAAATATAGGCTACCATATGCTTTTGGAAGAACACTCACAGGCACAAAAAAGGGCACCTTAAAATTTTGATGTATTTTTAAGTTGGCTGTACTTAAACTGCCGTTAAACGGTAGCTTACTAAAATGCCGTTAATAGGTATGACGTCGTTGATGTGACGCAATTGACGGCTTTATGAAATATAGGAATTTTATAAGGACTAACCAACGCTATCCACCCCACCAAATAACCAACTTAACCAACGCAACTAACCTCGACACTGATAAAAAATATAAAAAACAAATATAAATTAGTAAAAATCAACCAACCCCACCAAATAACCAACTAACCAATGAATTAACACCCTCCAAATAACCACGCTAACCAACCCGCCAAATAACTAAACCAATCCAACCAAAAAGAGTGAAACCAATGCAATAAGATCACGCTATAAGCAAAAAAAAAATATAAAAAAGCTTGGTCGGCGTGAGATTTGAAGCAAGGACCATTCGCTTACGAAGCCATAGCCTCAGCCACTGACCCACAGGTGCTCTTGCAAAATGCTTAAGGGTAGGCATTACTTTCCGCCGACATGAACGACGTCACAATATCTATTAACGGCATTTTAGTAGGCTACCGTTTAACGGCTGTTTAAGTACATCGTTTAAAGTTTAATATATTTTGCTCTAGTCGGCCGATTTTGATGATTTTTAAGCAATTTGTAGCTAAATTATTTGGCTTTTTAGTGTCTCTTTCTAAATTAAAAATGAAGTTTTCTTCTGTCAATTATACGAGGGAAAACAAAATCTTGATATTTTGGTGAAAGATTAAAACACCCTGTGGAATATGCTAGCAATGCAAGGAATTTAAAAATAATTTTATCATCTAGGTATATCTTTTCTCGATAGTTTGTTTTTTGATTCATCTCAATATCTTTATTTTTGTTAGAGATATTCGCTTTTAAATAAAGCCGGTCCCAGACACTACGTGCATTTGGCGAATGTGCGAACATTCGAATTATGTACTGTGGCTTCGGCCACCTTCCCACACGCTACGTTATTTGTAAAAATGCGTCCAATGACAAATATTTCCCGTAGTAGAGCAACGCGTAGGGGAGCGCGCCGCTAAAACAAAAAAAAACACGTAAACAAATAGACGTAGCATCTGCGAGTAATTCCGAAGTTGACTACGCCGCACTACGAGCTCCTTTGATTCGTTCCAGTGTACCGACAACCGCCGGGAAAATGACGAAGTACGAATCTTCGTCGAAGGTAGCCTCCCACACGCCGCACTGCGACGAAATCGACGATGCCGAGCATACGTTGTTCTGCTGTCCAAGATAGGAAAACGGAAGGTCTGCCTTATTGTAGGATGTAGGAATGTTAACTTCGGACACCTTGATTATGAAAATGACCAAAACTAGCAAAATATGGGGAAAGGCAGGGGCATTTATGAAAGAAATAATAATAGAGAAAGGAAAAGATGAAAAGGCAAGAAATGCGGAAGTATCCTAAAAATAAATAGGATAGAATATAGATAAAAAAAATAACATAGATAGGATATAAACCCCAAGATCACGTATGAAGCCGAAGTAATTCCTTGCGGCGGTTCCGGGTAAGGGGCCAGGAGGAGCTGACTCCTCGGAGGTGGACTTTTTTAGTGGGTAACAATTCGACTCCCACACTGTTTGAGATGCGTCTCTATGATCGTCTCTCTCGAGATGGTGATGGGAACGAACACCACTCGCCTATAAAAGGTTTTTTACCACCACCTCAAAAAAAAACCTCCCACACGCTACGCGAATAAGCTGGAATACCGAATATTCGTCAAATGCACGTAGTGTCTGGGACCAGCTTAAGACAGTAACGATCTATAGCAATTTTTGCATTGATTTTCGGTTCTCATCAATACACTTATAAAAAGGTGTTTACTGTTTTTGTAATGTCACTGTCATTGAAAAGTAATATTATTAACTAGTCATAAATTACTGCACAACAGACAATAATAATATTATTTTTCATATGGATTTTTCACAGACAGTGAAACATTACATAAATCATAACAGTATATTATTCAACGAGCATATAATGGTGGTTGTTATGAATAACAGCCATTATATGCGAGTAGAATACTATACTTTATCCAGGAGTATCAACAAAATTTAGATACTATTATTATAAGTTTTTATTTCTAATGTCACAAAAATATTGAACGAGTATAACGAGTAAGTAACATGGAAACAAAACATTGAAATTTTCTTTAACTAAGTAGCTAACTAATTTAGCTTTAACGTACAATCGCATTCCAAGCCGGTTTGGATCGAGCACAGCTCTTGTTTGGAGTTTGGATCGAGATATCCGTGGAAGCGGTGAATAATGAATATTATTATTATTTCATAAACTCATGTATAATAATGAAATTATAGACGAGTATAAACACTATTTTATAGGTCTGTTGGCTAGGACCAAAAGCAAAGGCATGGTTTTAATGTAAAAAAAATACGAAAAAATGTTAATGTCGTCTTCAGAAGCGAATATCTCTAAAAGAAATACAGCTATTGAGATGAATCAAAAAACAAACTATAGAGAAACAACTAGATGATAAAATTAATTTTTACAATCCTTGCTTCGTTAAGGTACTCCACAAGGTGTTCCAAACATTCACCAAAATATCAACATTTTCTTTTCCCTCGTATAATTGACAGATGGGAACTTTTATTTTTATTTTGGAAAGGGGCACTAAAAAGTCAAATAATTTAGCTATAAACTACTTAAAAAATCATCAAAATCGATCCACTAGAACACATTAATATAAAACTTTAAATACATGAAACTGACAGCAACAAAGGCACTTTTTCAAGATTCACAATAATCAGACTGTAATTCAAGTGCTGACACAAACCATCCAAATGTATGCACTTAGTTTGTCACTGAATAAAATTAATATTACAGATCTATAAATTAGAATAAGCTTTGATCTTTCTGTGTAGGCTCACTTTATTTCTCTCTTCTTGTAGTATTCAATAAATATCGAAAGTTTTACATTAATTTGAATAATAAAAATTAAAGCTATAAACTTATTTCTTTCAGATTTTGCATAACCGTCCAGTAAGCATGATCCTAGACATATCAGAAATCAGAACAGCTTGGCAAGACAGCGATTTCATCACTGACTGTCTTTGTTGGCACAATGTGTACAGGCAGAGGCACAATTCACCTCCACTCACCATGTCACCAGAGGCAAGTCAATATCATATTAGAAATGCATTTTACACAAACGAAAGACTAAGGCAGCAATATATCAACCAAATTGGCGAGATAGCAAAAGAGTTTTAATATGGTTGACATGAATTCCGTCTAATAAAATAATCGAAAAATAATACCATATGACAAATGATGAATCTCTGCACGAGAGATGGCACACGTTTTTTGAAACATCCTGTAGAACTCTCGTTTTGAACCATTCAATAAGTACCTATCGTATTAAAAGTTAAGCTTCATTCAGAACCTCGCAATTAGTGGAATGAATGAGTGGTTTCAATTAAACTTTATATTTTTAGTTTACGATCATTCACAATGTCTAAAAAACACAATTAAAATTAATAGAATATCCTAGCATTATGACAGCTTGCGTTAGTTAGTTGTGTATAATTAGTGGAAAAGTTAAAAGTTTCATAATTGTTTCTACTAATTGAAGTCTACCACTAATTTTGACGTTCTGAATGCTTACATTGAAATTAAAGGAACAAAAACTTCTACGCTAATTGAAACCACTAATTTATTCCACTAATCGCGAGGTTCTGAATGAAGCTTAACTTGTTTATTTAAAATTATTGTTTTAATTTATTGCAAATACGAGTACTTAGTGCTTTTCCGACTTTTGTGTAAAACTTTAAAGGCAGCAATGCTGATTGTGATGCTGATATATTAAAAAATAAAAAAATCATCACACAAATATTGCTTCATAATTTAAAGTTTTATTTGCATTAAATTACCTATAATACTAATATTTATTTATTATACTGATAAAAAATAGTATGTAAAAATACACATCAGATCATTGGTTACTTTTATGCCACCCAAATAACTGTAAAATTCCATCTTGTCTGGAATTTTACACTTTTGATGTGTAAAATTACAATCTAGTTTTACCATTAAGAATGTGGAAATGTGAAAGGGTATTAATTCTTAATTTATTTCTTATTCTTTTATAGTTGTGTCACTTGGCTCAAACGTGGGCCAATCATCTAGCCCACACGAACAGGTTTTACTACAGAAACGACAAAGATATCGGGCAGAATCTCTTCTGTCGAATGACGAATGTCATTGTGACTGACGTTTCCGGGCAAGAAGTGACAACTTATTGGTATTCAGCAGTCAAACAGTATGACTTTAGCAACGAGCCTGACAGACTTCGAGCTAATGTTAATGTCGGTAAGTGTATACTCGTAAGTAATCTAAGTTTAAAGTTAATTTATCGTTAAATTGTTTCTGCTGTCAGTCTTTGGAAGTCGCCTGTCAAAATCGTCTCTTCCCTCGTTACGTTTCTTTAAAACCGACCTGATTTATTCCAAGTTTGATGTAAAAAAACTATGATAGCAAAAAAAATTATGTTATTTCGTGTTATTTTTTTTACTCCAAACTTTGAATATATGACAGGTTGTATTTATTTCTATTTGAATGCTATTTTAATAAGACAATAAAAATACTCGAAAATCGTTATACAGTGTGATCCAAACTGTATTCCAGAAACTTCGGCAGCATATTTTGCAAATAAAAATAAGTAAAAAAGTTCGTATAAATGTATGTCCTAAAATGGCTTAGTTTCGGAGATATAGGGTGTAGAAGGTGTTCATTCTTATTTCGATTTTTTCCAAATAATTTCTGAAGTAAAAACTTGAAAGTTTAAAACTTGAACTAAACATTATTTATTTTTAAGGCCACTTCACCCAGCTAGTTTGGTCTAATAGTAGACATTTTGGATTGGGTAGAGCAAGATCCAGATCTGGTAAAATCGTGGTAGTGGCCCATTATGCGCCTGCAGGTAACGTACCAGGAGCATATTTGGATAACGTATTTCCACCCTGCGAAGAACTTCCAAGGTAAAATATGTAACCCTTGTTTCGTGCAACATCAGAGAAATAAGTAAACTTAGAGAAGCTGTAAATTTCTCTTGATGCAACAGTGAAATGCTCTTACCATTTTGTAATCGTGCCATATATCACAGGATTATCAGTTGAAGTTAATTTTATCAGTTTTTGGAAAATAATCCTTTTTTTTCCTCTAAAAATATTTAAAATTTTTGGAGGAAAAAACTCTATCAAAACAATTGTATAGCCTAAACGTCAAATTTAGTGATTGCACAGCCATTGTGCCATAAAGAGAAGACATTGGCCGTAGCTGTCATGGAAGAGAGAGATTAAAAAATTATCATAAATCTTTTTTATTTCAAATGGAAACTCATTTTTTTATTTCACTAGGGAAAAGGTTTTTTAATTCGTTACTTTTTAATTATACATGTTCCTATACCTAAAATAAATCGTTTTTAAGTTATTGAAGATTTAGTTTCAAAGCGTATATTTTTCTGGTTTTTAACCAGTAGCCTAACTTAATTGTTAAACGCGATGCAAAACTATATCTAGCCATGTCATATTGCCATTAGATATCACTATAATACGAGATATATGTTTATAAATACCTACACTTTATAAAGTTTTAGCAGCAGTTTTTATAGTAAACGAAATTCAAATAATAGGTTTTTTGACAGAAGGAAATAAACTGTCTGATGGTTTAACACTTAATATCAAAGGAAGCTAGATAAAATCAAGAAAAATGTACGCTTTAGAACTAAATCTCAAATAACTTAAAGACGATTAATTTTAGGCATAGGAACATGTATAATCAAGTTACAAATTGAAAAACCTCGTCATTAGTGAAATAAAAAAGTGGGTTTCCATTTGAAAAAAATTATTTATGATAATGTTTTAATCTCTCAATTCCAAGACAGCTTCAGCCAACATTATATGACATTCAATTTAATTTTTAAAATAGATAGCAACATGTCTTCTCTTTATGTCACAATGGCTGACAGTAGGCAATATGTCCAAACCAAGTTGCAAAAAATAACATCCACAGTTAGCATTTATGGCAATAACATTAGATTGGAAACATATTAGTTAAGAGGAAACCACATAAAACTAACAAAAAAACATATTCGTAGTCTCTTTCGAGGGGCTGTAAAACGAACTTTGCGCAAAACCTACATTATCAGTTAATTTGTGACCAATAACTGCCTTTTTTCTACAATTTTTTAAATAGTAGGCGTTGCATTCAAGTGACACAGTATTATAACAATTGAATCGGACGACCTTAGCTTGCTGTCAATAATTATTGTGAAATTGTCATAACGTGTTTGACGTAGATTCCCGGTTGCGGTAAACTTAATGTCAAGGTAAGTAAAAAAGTATCTTTTATTTTGATTTTTGGATAAAAACTAGGTAAAGGTCAAAGTAGAACATAATCATTTAAGGTTTTTTTGATAGTGGCATATATTCTGCCTTAGAAAAGTTGAGTCACAAAAATCGCAAAAAATCGCAACATTAAATTTATTGGAAGCGTAAGCCTCCATGCGTATGTGTATAGTAAGATCCTTTATGTGGATACTTCTCATAAATTAATTGTTATAGTAGCTAGAGAAGAACTTGAAATATAAAGTTACGTAATTTTTCTCAAGATTTCAAGAAGAGGTATGTCATAAATGTCAAATGACATTTTTTGACAAATTGACAAATTTTGACAGTACCTAATTTTTTAAATTAAATGAAATGGATTTTTCTTTCAGATTTAAAAATGTACACTTCGTGACCATTGATTGCCTCCAGCTGTTATAAAACAAAATATCAGTAAATAGTAAATGGTAAAATAAAATTTAGATATGTTTAATAGGTATAAGTTCTGTTATTTTCTAAATCGTCATTGTTTAATTCTCAGAATATGGTTACTTATTTAAAATATAATAATAAAATATTGTTCACATATGGTCTGGTATTATTAGAGACCCAACTTATTGAAATGACAAAGAATCTTGAATAGATTGGATTAGTATACTCAGGGTTTTCTTTTATACATTGACACCCCCTTTATCTTTTTTTTGACGCTTCCGAAATGTCTCAAATGAAAGTGGTTTTGAATAAATTTGCCAAAAAAGTCTATTTTGCATATACAAAGTGCTTCAAAAAGTCTGGGCGTGGTTCAAGATAGTTGGTTTCAAATTAGGTATAATTTCAAATTAGGTATAGGCTAGCTACATAGAAGTAGTTAGGATTTTTAGGAGAAAATAAAAATCAAATAAAAAATTGGGTACTAATTTGAAATAAGAAAGTTGGGCCACGCACAGGATTTCTAAGGCACCCTGTATATGCAAAGAAGACAGTTTTGAAAAATGTATTCGAGACCATTAAACTTTTATTCAAGACACTTTTTTCGAAAACGTCGAATAAAAAAGATACAGAGGATGTCAATATATAAAACAAACCCTGTATATGCCGGAGGAGTAATAATTGCTCAATATTTGTCTGTTTCATCTTGGCTCTGCCAAAAATCATAAAATTTAGTGAAATGTAAAATATTCTTACCGCCTTTTGGTAGCTGTCGTATTAGTCAATAGATGATTTTTCCCATTTCATGAATCCCCCCACCATCCCCCACCACTCTCAAGTCAGCCAAAACTAACTGGGTTCACGGGCTACTGGCATAGAATGTTTTTACCAAATTTGAATGAAATCGTACAAAAAAAGAATTTTTGCAACATACTTCTGGATTTTTGCCCACTGTGTGGCTGTGGTAACCACTAAATTTGACGTTTAGGCTATACAATTTTTTTGACAGACAGTTTTTTTACTCCAAAAAATTTAAATATTTTTTTTCACAGAAACGTATAATGTTAGGTATAGACTGTTTTATATTAAAATTCATAAAATTCCATAGAGAATTTAAATACGCAATAAAAAATAATGGGGTATCCACTTAAAATAAGAAAGTTGCCGTCAACTTCCCGCCATATTGAAAATATTTTTAATCGATAGATCTCATTGTGAAACAATGATGTGCAAAAATCTCTGATCCAGATCTTATAATTCTCTAGAAACTGCACGAAAATGCACGCTCAGGTTGCGGCACCCTGTATACTGTTTTTTAGTTTGGTTAGGACCGAACAAGGACCGAACATTAGGTATAGAGTTTGATATCAAAATTCATAAAATTTTACAGAGAACTTAAGAATGAATTAAGAAATAAGTCTACCCATTTAAATAAAAAAAGTTGCTGTAAACTTCCGGTATTTCCGGAAGTGTCGCCATATTGAAAATATTTTTAATCGGTAGACTTCGTTGCGAAACAATGATGTGCACAAAAACTCCCATCTAGACATTGGAGTTCTCTAGAAACTTCTTATGCACGCTCAGCTTGAGAGACCCTGTATACACAACTAAAATTTGGACACGACAAAGCTGTCAAGGCTTTAAGGATCCTCCATGTTTATTTATTTCTCGGAGTGTACAGGGTGAGCGGAACTCGATGTCTCACCTCTATTATGAGAAAACGAAAAATAATAAAAAAAATCTGGAAAGAAGTTTTTAAATGGGACTAAATAAAGTGTATTTTAAGCCAAATTTGCATATTTCTCCATATTTGGAAATTGATATAATGACGTCATCGATTTTTATTTCCCTTTTTTTTATTATTTTTCGTTTTCTCATAATAGAGGTGAGACATCAAGTTCCGCTCATCCTGTACAACATACCGTGTCACGGGCCGACGCTTTTATTACCAAAATAATTTATAAAACAATGTTTAAAATAACTTTTTCAGAGTACCCCAGCCTCTTCCAGCCAAGTTTATAATGTCCGGTAGTTCTACCAGCGACACGGACAGTCATACAACAGCCAGCAGTACCTAAACAAGACTTCCAAAAAAATATGAATACTGATTTCAATTATTATAACGTCACTACGTATAGTTATTTAGTCACTAATTGTAGCACTTAGCTTAAATAAGATTTTAAATGCCTAAAGTCTGCAATTTTACCGCTTAAGAAATGAAGAAATATGTGATGCGATGCAATCACATGTGATGCGTGCAGTGGTGCAACTACCCAGATATTTAGAGGAGAAGCTCAAGCCGCCTCATTTAAAAGATAATAATAATTTAAGGCTAAAACCAATTTTAAACGACTCGAACCGATCTTCTAAAGGCGCGTCCACATTGCTCGTGATCCTGCTCGCACTCTTGCTTCTGATTGTGCTTGCGTTGCTTGCGCTTCCTGTTTGTCGTGTTTCTCAAGATCTTTCGGCTCGCAAGCAACGGCGCGGCGTCCACATTGTAATGTAGTGCTTGCGTTCGTGCTGTTCGGACATGGATGATACCGAAGTATTTTTAACAGCGGCTGCTAGTGCGATCATTATTGTAAACGAAGGAGACAAAGAGGAAAAAAGGCGGTGTTGGATGTCTAGTAATTTCAAAAGTAGATCCCAGCACAGTGAAAGTAAACATTTACGCGATTTACAAACAGACAGAATGTTTTTTTAATATATTTTTATGGCATGTCCGCTACTGCTTTTGAAAGACTTATTAACTTAGTTGGCCCCCGTATAGAAAGGAAAAATACAACTTTTAGGAAGTGTATTCCGGTTAAAGAAAGAGTTAAATAAAGATTGGCGATAACATTAAGATTCTTTGCAACTAGAGACTCAAATACCAGTTTGGGTTATTTATTCAAAGTTTCCAAGCAAAACATTTCAAAAATAATACCAGGAGTATGCTAAAATATAAATAAAGTTCTCAAAGATCAAATTAAGATAAGTAGGCAATATAAATATACAGGGTGTCATTGAAATGGTGTAAAAAAATAAACTCCTAAAAATAGTAAAAAAAGTTCCTATAAGTATAGGGCGGAAAATGCATATTAAGGGAGTTAGGGGCACTGAAAGGGTGAATTTAAAAAACGGTTGTTTTAAAATTGTAGGCTTAAAAAACGAGATAAAATTTCGAAAAAAAATCCTCTGCTATAAATTTTGACCCTAAATCAAATGGTGATACTGAAAAATTATTTGGAAAAACGGAAAGGGTAGTTTTTGCAAGGATAGGGTTTTTTTTCGTGAATAACTTTTTTGAGGTTATTTTTTTGCAACGTGGGTTCATTTTTTGAAAACTACATACTTTTTCCTACAAAAAAGATACTCTTGTTGCACATCGCCCAGAGCGATGGTTTTCGAGAAAATTGAAGACAAAGAGTTTGCTCTGATGGGTTGCTAACTGGTTAATCAACATAAACTTATGAAAGTTATGGCGGTTCAAAAGTAACCAAGTAGTTATCAAATAATTAATTGAAAAATCAAAATTTCATGATTTTTAAAACATCTTATTGCTTTAAAAACAAAATAATCCAATTACCAAAATTCCTTATTCAAATAATGCATTCCTTAATTCATTCATAGCAAATGTTCAAAGTGACCACCATTCATTTCAATGTAGACATCTGATCTTCTTCTCCACGATCTGCGTAGATGCCCTGTGGAATATCCTTGGTGTTGTCCGAATTTGATTGGAACAATCAATAATGCGTTGCCGTAGTTGCTTTTCAGTATTAATCGGCACTGAGCAAACCAATTTTTTTTAAAACCAAAAAAGTTTATTTCATTTTTAAAGCAATAAGATGTTTTAAAAATCATGAAATTTTGATTTTCCAATTAATTATTTAATAACTACTTGGTTACTTTTGAACCGCCATAACTTTCATAAGTTTAGGTTGATTAACCAGTTAGCAACCCATCAGAGCAATCTCTTCGCTTTCAATTTTCTCGAAAACCATCGCTCTGGGCAATGTGCAACAAGAGTACCTTTTTTGTAGGAAAAAGTATATAGTTTTCAAAAAATGAACCCACGTTGCAAAAAAAATAACCTCAAAAAAGTTATTCACGAAATAACCCCCTACCCTTGCAAAAACTACCCTTTCCGCTTCGTTCGGCCAGATCGCGAGCAATGTGTACGCGGCTTAAGAGGGGACTAATTTTGGGGATGTAAAGGCTAAGCTAGACCCTTCTAGTTGCGCCACGTCTAAAATAAAATTTTAAAGCAATTCTGACAAGGCTTAATATTATAGGGTATACATTCCAGAGGGATATGGGACAAAATTTTCATCATCACTCTAAAAAAACACATCGTCAGCTTCCACCAAAATACAGGTTTTAATAAAATTAGTTATAATGTAAATGTACCAGTGCTCGGCACATTAAGAAAAGTTCATAACACGTATGGTGGTGTATCAATTATTAGCCCAGTCAAATTAGAGAAATCGGCGGAAAAAAATCTCACAGTTTTGAAAATGGTTTTAAATGATTTCTCTAGAGTTGTACTGATATGTCAAAAGTCACCGAAGATAAACGATGAGCTCGAGGAGATAGGGGAGTTGTTAAATGTCACTTTTATGACTTTTTAGCTTATATCACAGAAAATATAACACCTACAAAAAAATACCCTATAGAGAAAATTGAAGCTCAGAGAATTATCTATCAAATTGGTTGAATGCATTTTTTTCATAGGTCTAACATTTTAAGAGTTACAGGGTTGACAAAATTACAGATTTTTCTAATGTTAAAGTAGCACGAAGCATTTCGGGCATTAGCATTTAAGGTCTGGTTCCCTGAGGTTGTATATTCCGATCATATTCTAGATGATTTCTTCCTGTAGGTACAGTTAACGTTAGTGTAATATTTACGTATCTGCACTACCCAATCCATTTCACCCCAATATAGTATCAGGTATCAGTCTTCCCTCGCAGAATTTCAAAGAGTCTTAAAACCGCATATGAAAGTGTAATTTGTGAATCTTCTCAACCTACAATAATTGAATACCATAATGATATCCACATTCCACATACATAATATGAGTCCTCGTACTTTAAAATTGTCTATAAAAAAGTGATTTTAATTTACTATTTATAATAATGCATTGTATCGCTTACTTTTATAATTTAGTAGGTCTTTCAAATTCTTTTTTTTATTTTGTACAATATCGGATACATTATGAAATATAAATTTAAAAAAATCTATGTTATTAAAGAATAGATGCTTTAATTTTTATTATAAGACTTTTGAATTAAAAATTTTATGAAGGTATTTCTTATTTCCGACACAAAAATTAATTCAGAAACATGATAATTCACAAGAATTATTATTTATTTTGTTTCTTTAATATATTTTGTACATAATGTCGGTTTTGATTCTTTTAATTATACAAAGATATAAAGCAAAATAAACGAACAGAAACCATTATTAATGTTAACAAATAACTTGCGCAGTCAAGGAGTGATTTTGCGTGAACGCCATCGAGTCCAAAATTTATAAAATCACAGTATATACTAAAAGTTACGTAATACTTAAAAAATCATGATATCGTACTTCTTCAACGCTATTTGAACGAAAAACGTGCAATGAAAAGAAATGTGTTTGTACGGATTTGGAATATGCCATTTGATTTAGTATCCAAATTTATGAAGGACATAGTTCGGAAACGTCCGGGAACAAAAATGTATAGAATCATTTTTATAGAGTATACAGAAGAATTTGTCAGTTTCTTTTTTATATATAGAGGATTTTTCGATAGATGTCATAGTTTCCGAGATATAAGCAAAAAAGAGTGAAAAAATTGACACTCAACTCCTCCCCACTCCTCGAGCTCATCGTCTATCTTCGGGGACTTTTAACACATATCAGCCCAAGTCTAGAGGAATCATTTAAAACCATTTTCAAAACTGTGGGATTTTATTTCACCGATGGGCCTTTTTTAACTAATTTGACTGGGGTATACCGGGTGCGTCTCAAAAGTGGCTCACCCCTATAACTTTTTTATTTCTTCAGATAAAAAAAAACGAGATTTGGTATGTTAGTATATGACATAAATTAAGATTGATTGATTTATTTAATTGTTTTCGGTCCCTCCCTGTTTCACCGGAAATGACTACAACTTTTGATTTTTAAATGGCACCCTCGGTATTTTTTTACTTTATTCGATAGAAAATGACACTTTGAATCGAATGACATATCATATGTCAATTTTTGACATAGTCATTCAAAAACAAATTGTATTTTAAATTTCAATCTAGAGTGCCATGGCTGTGTTAAAAACACTAATTTTTAATCAAGGAGCCTTGGAAAAATAGATTTGATCGTCGAATGTTTTTAGTGTCTTGTCCTGGCCGGTTAAAAGATGCCCAAAGCGTATTTTTAATAATATCTCGATTTTTTCAAATGGAACGAGGGTGGCTCATTAGCATATTTGGAAAAAGCATTTTTTACGAATAATTTGATACCACACACTTGGTATTTCGAGTCAAATTGTCGTTATGAACCGCAAAAATTGGCATATGATTTGTTATTCTATTCAGAGTGTCATTTTCTATCGAATAAAGTAAAAAAATACCGAGGGTGCCATTTAAAAATCAAAAGTTGTAGTCATTTCCGGTCAAAACGGAAATGACCGCAAAAAATTGAATATGTCAATCAATCCTAATTTATGTCATATACTAACACACCAAATCGCGTTGTTTTATCTGATAAAATAAAAAAAGTTATAGGGGTGAGTCACTTTTGAGACGCACTCGGTATATGGTATTTTTTGCTTTTGGTTTGGTTTAGTTAGATTGTGGTCCCATTTTTATCGCGATAGGGTCTGTAGAATAACCTTATCTTACAAAGTTGTTCTTAATGGTTAAATCATTATTAACAGCTTCAATTGTTTTAAGCGTGTTATCTGCGGAATATTTAAGTTTTCTTACCATATTATCTGATAATACCAGAACGTCACCCCCAGGTCCCGGTATTAGTCATCTCTAATTAACATATATTTTCTTTAAAATCCCGAAACAAAATGGTATGACAGGGATTGGTACGCATATTCTTAGTGCTTAAAATAACACCTATTATAATTTTTACTTCCATGCAGGGCCGGCGGAAGGCAAATATTGAGACCGGGCGAGTACCCTAACTGGCGCCCCCCCACATAGTTATTATAATTCTTTTCACTTAAAGATACTTCAAAATTCTTCCCTTCTTTCAATCTTAGTTTGCGGTTGTT